TTATAAATTTTGAAGTGTACATTTTATAAGAATCTATTATAAAATATAACAAAAGTACGTTTAAATAATATATTTTTTTGTAAATATACATGTATCTATACAAAAATAGTTCAACAGGTATGAGTGACTTTGGAATGGAAATATGTTATTACATATTAAGTTAATATATAGGCTTTACTTTAATTCGATTACCAAAGTTTAAACATATTGTACAAGACAACAAAAATACGCAAGGAAACCTAAAAACAATCTGTTAAAATTTCGCCAGGCTAATCAATTAGGTAACTATTTCACCTGAATCTCTAGCTCGCGACATCTTTTGGAAAAGATATTGCTACGCAATGATGTATTCTATTTTTTATATATAATAAATAACAAATAAAATAAATAAAACTTTTAGTTCCGTAAATGTTATACAAGGGAAAATAATAATATTAATGAATGATAATAGTATATCAGCTTTTTTAAAGGCCCATTGTTGTGCCCAAGACTTCTGTGAATGCGAGAGGGATAATGCCACAGTCTACCAAGTTGGCTTGGCTTAGTTTAAGATAGTAAATTTCATACTTCTGTTCACTATTTAAATACTTCCAGTCATTTTTTATTTATTTATTAGCTTTGTAAGGGGAAGAAACAGTAAGGTACAATAAATAATTACATTCTAAAACATATAAAAGTAATCCTAAAAACCAAGCAAGCTTCCACTGATGATGATTTCCTTCACTATATTAGCAGTATGTAATCACATTGAAATTATTCGCATATAAATATCTCGCTCATTTGAGCGAAACCCGATTTGAACCTACTTCATTTGATTTTTCAAGCGAGCTCAAGATAAAACGTACATGTTATTTTGGGAATTTGCGTTAATTTAAAGGTAACATGTATTACATTAAGATCAAGAGAAAGCGTATTAGATACATCGTTTTGCCTACTGGTGCGTGTCTAATGCTTTTAATAAATTTGAAGAGAAAGCATGAGCAATTTTCGCATATTCGTCTAATGATAGCTGTTAACCTGTAATTCTATTTTGTTTAGCTCAACTGTGTTACGTAGCTATATACTTAATTACGAAAATATTTTGGTTCATTAATGATGTAGAGGCCACTTTTCTTATGGAATGAGTATTTATATCTAGATATCTAGTTTAAAATGGCAAAACTTAATGTTTATTTACTGTCGTCAAAACGCTGTCTGTTATATGAAATACATATCTACAATAAGACCAAAACTTAGTTATTAAATCTATAAGATGCTATTTTAAAATCACTTTCACGTTTGTTTAAAAATAGCTACACTGTATGAAAGGTCACCACTTCAAACTTAGTTGACTACTTAATCTCAAGTTTCATTAACAACGCGCTCCTTGTTTTCTACTTCTATTATTGATTTCATGACGTTAAGCAATAAAACTAATTTTAACTATTTATTACCCCTTCCATGACATTCTTTACGAGTATTTGATTTAGATTTTTAACTCAAATTTCTATGCTAATGACCATTGGTGTAAGAATTGATGCTATTTTTACTATTTTCATTTTATAGGTTACTTCCCTATACAAACTTTCATCCCCATTTTCACCTCTCTAAGAGATGATTTCCGGACTAAAAACTTTCTTATGTTCTTCCTCGGGTCTCAAACTATCTTTTTACCAAATTTCATCTAAATCGGTTCAACAATTTCGAAGCCTATTCGATACAAACAAACAAAAAAACAAATTTTTCCTCTTTATAATATTAGAATAGATAAATCATTGCAATTTTTTATAGAAAACAAAATAGAAAACAAAGATACATTTATTGTACACCACACAAAAAAATTACTTCTAGATTCTTAGTATTAAACAATATAAGAAATCCTATATTCTATCTATAGACATAACTCTATTCACGTTAAGAAAGTCTCTAGGACCACCTGGGCCCTTTTATTGAGACATAAATACTAACAGTTACTCGTAACTTCCGCTATGACTAATTCAATTATAAAAAGAAATATTTAATCGATAGTTTGAATAACAAGTAACGGTGGCAATATACAGGGAACAACTCATAACAGACCATGCAATTGCAGATCACGGCCATAACTTCTGATGTTACGTCATTGTTAGTCGCACCACGGGCTACTGATTTAAAACATACGGTATTTATAGAAAGGTGTCTGTCTGTATATGATTATTACTGTTTTTTACTATTAGATAAAAACATATAGCCCCAATTATTGAATTTTAAAAGTTGAAAGCTTAGAGTAATAAAGAGCGGCCTTATTTTGTTCTTTGATTCTTTGATTCCCGACGTTTCGAATGCTTTACAGCATTTTTGGACGTATCAATAGTCAGACAGTATCTACCTATAAAAATTTGGGAACCGAAATCAATTTTTTAGTACTATAGATTTATTTAAAATTTAATGCAGTAAAATATTATTTTACTATGTAAATATAAAATACAAAAGCAAATAGGAAAAATTAAAATTAAAATATACAGAAAGACATAGACATCAAATTACTTTATTTCTAAGTAGAGTACTAAAATAATAAATAATAGCAAAACTGATTGAATAACTATAATTTAACATTACGAAGCTGCATAAAAAGTGTCTTTATTGAATATACATATATTTAAACTTTAATTTATCTAAAATCTTAAGAAAAGAACTAAACAATTGTCTTACGTCTCTTCTATTCTTGCTTTTACTACATACTAAACAATAACATACCATGGACCTATTAAGAAACTATTTCATAATATTTTTAGAAATAGACAAACAAAGTCGCGTTAAAGATCTTGTTTTGAGTTTAGTATTCAAGCAAGTGTAAGTTTGTATTACGCCGACCGCTTTAACTCAAATCACGTGCGACGGCGGATGCCGCGTCCGGTTTTACTGACAAAGAAGAAAACTTATTTGAACTTAATCTTTTGGATATTGACGTAATGGATTAATTATGAGTAAAAAGCCAAGTTATGTTAGAAATAACTACTTAGTATTACAATGGTTATAGAAAAATAATGTCATATTATTTTGTATTTATCTATACATATAATAAAGTTGTAACTTAGCCGAATCTGTACGTTAAATATTTTTTGGAAAATCTTATTGAAATAAACATTATTATCGATACAGAAGCCGAATCTACAGTTTTTAGAATTTTTGCCTGTCTGTCTGTTACCGCATCACAGAAAAACCACTGGAAAGATTTTGATGAAATTTGGTATGGTAATAGCTGGTTATCTGGGTCAACATATAGGATACTTTTTACCGCGGAAAAATATCTAATTTCTAAGAAAAAGTACAAAAAGTGCAATGTAAAAGTATAATAATATGTAAAATCTAAGAATTTGGTTTTTGGGCATCTGAACGCGGGCGGAGCCGCAGGCAATGCTAGTTGTATATAATATAATCGAAAACAAAATCCTTAAACTAAAAACAATGAGCATTAAGCAACATATTATTCCGTCGTGGCATACTTTGCAGATATTAATATGTAGGGTTACTATTCGTTGATACTCACGTAGGATAAAAACATAATTATTTTATTGCAATATTTTAAACTAATATTATATTTAAAAAAACAACTATTGAGTTAATTCCTCACGTACTTACATACTGACATTTAATTTAAATTTAAAATATAAAATTGACGATTCAAAAGTGCTTGTAAAAGTCTATTTGAATAAAGTATAGATATATTAATTTGATTTAATATTACTCATAACATTCTCTAGATATTTAAAAGGACGTTTATTTAGAGAGAACAAAACAATTTTACCTGAGCTAATGGTTGAAGAGAATATTTAAAAATAACCGTAAATAATAGAAACCTTTGTGTAAGTTAAGAAAAAATGACTGTAATGGAGATCGTGATATCTTGCGAAAGTATGTACCTAAACTATGCTGCATATTATAAATAGTGTAATTAATAAATAGTATAATAAAATTGTTCAAACATTTTCAGTTAAAATGAGCATTGAACAGCATTATATGATATTCATTTACCAAAATAATCAAACAAATAAAGCAATTTTAGTTAAACTTATTGTTACTATTCCAACTTTATATGAGAATTATTTAATTGTACCAGTAGGTAATTGCGGTGTTTTAAAATAATACGCTTTTAATTGGAATTTAATCTACTATAACCAGTAAGAATAATTAAACAATCAAGTAAAATGGAGACAGATTTTTATTTATTATGTTTTATATATTTTAATATGTTTATTTTTATTAGTCCACTATTTTTAATATGCAAGGATAAATTATTGTAAAATAAATTTTGAAATATTTCACATATTATGTATTATGATACTTGTAAATATAAACACTACAAACAAACAAAAAATACTTTTAATGATTACCACAGTAATAATATAATATAATTGGACAATAAACATATAAAATAGGTATTTTAATTGTTTTGGTTAAAATAAAATTTGTAATTATTTCTAAAAAATTAATGAAGCTGTTTTATGAATAGTATCTTATTTCATATCTTTTAATTTTCATTTCTAAAAAAAATATAATTCATAATATAATCATATAAAAAAACACGTAAAAGTTTACAGTTACTTAGTTTTACTTTTTAAAATACTAATTATGAGAAAGAACTAAAACAATTGCTACTTTACCAACATTTCAATTTCTCAAGTATCTAGTAATTCATTCATAGAAAGTTTTTGTGTAATGTGTATAAAGGTTACTCAATAAAAGACTGTATTAAAAATCTTCATCATTTTATTCTTTTATAGTGTATAAATAACGCCATATTAATGATATTTATATAGTATGATCACTTGTTTTTGCTATTTACAATATTTATTTGCTACAGCAGTCTTTAAAATTTTAATACGTAACCTATACGCAGGATAACGAACAGGCAATAGTAAGTTCACTTACATAAATTTTGGTATAGCACTTACAACTAATAATTACAATATTTACAGCGGTCTATTATTAACATCTACAATTATGTACAATGTGACTGGAAGTGGGCTGGGGCCCGTCTAGACTAGGTAAGCTTGCACGGAATTACCCGTGTCAACAAGTGGCGGCGGAGGCGGCCATTGTCGCATCTCTCGTCGCCTGCCTGGTGCCATGCCTTGTTCTAAGGAAGAGTAATCAGAATCTATTGAAGAGTAGATATGATCTGATATAGGCCTTCCATCAGGGCCGTAAGCCACGCCCTGTGATTGCCTCACTGCTGATGGCGACTGCCGTACTTCTGTACTATATTCAGGAGGTGCACTCGCTCCTTGCTCTGTGTTACCTAACACTGGTGACTTATCGAGATAACTCATTGTTCGATTCCCTCCATTAGGTACGGAAGAATCTAATGTGTATGTATTTATATTCTTTCTATAGTTATGTGATCTCTTTTTGTGAGTTGGATGCGATGCATCCGGCATTATATACCTGAGGTGTTCCCAAAATCCCTTTTGTCCCCAACGCAAACGACAACTGGTCTTTAGATACGGTCGCAAGTCGGGATCACACATTGCGAGTTCCACCACAGAACACTCTTCAATTAAAATTAACTTATAAATACATCCTTTTAGTGCCTCGTGCAGCCATTGTCGAAATTCATATCGAGACCACTCTGTTTGCATAAAGTTTGTTGTTAACATCAATATTATTCTTTTAGATGCCTCTACAGCTTCAACTACTGGAGGCGTACATTGCATATATTGTGCACCGTGGTGTGGAATGTCTCTATAGTGGAGGCAAAGATGATACGGAGGATTGCCACCTTCTAATTCAGTAGCTAATGTTTCTATTACAAACTCTTCATCTTTAGGACTATAGCAAACATATGCATCATATAATTTTTCATTTTCTTCAAATCCACCAGAGAATGAAAAAATCCGAATACCACAGTTAGTATACAACCATACACGCAACGAGTTTCTAAAAATAAATAATACGACAAGGGCCAATAAAATTAACATAAAGCCGGTAAGTGTCAAGACCATCATGGGAACATAGTTCGACTCCAACATGTTTCCGATGACTGAATTATCAGCATAATAATCGCTGCAGGCAGTGCCGTTTAAATTAAGCTCTTTTTTCTGTGGCGGCTTGGCATCTCCATTCCAACACCAAACATCCGTTATGTCAATAATTTTTTGTGCATTTTCAGCAAGATACGCAGTCAATTCTTGTAAATAACGACATTTGCATGACCAAAGGTTGTTACCCAATGATAAAGCCTTTAAATTAGGATTATTGTTAAAACTCCAAACACCAAAATCTACTAATCTGTTACCGTCGAGGCGTAAAGTTTCTAGAGATCGTAGTGACAAAAATGATATGTTAGCGATATGGCTTATTAGATTGTTTTGTAAAAATAATTCTTTCAAGTTACTAAGCTGGTGAAATTCGTATCCTTTTAATTCTTTCAATTTATTGTTTCCTAAATGGAGTATTTGTAGAGTATTTAGGCCAGCAAAAGTTCTATTTTGAATGCTATCGACGTTGCTATTATTCACATAGAGGGAGCGCATCTTTTGTCGTCCAATGAAAACGTGATTTTGTAATTCTCTAATATTATTCCCATCTAAAAATACTTCAGTTGCATCCATTGGTATCTTGTGTGGTATTTCCATGGACGACTGGCCGGAACAATCAACAACGTTAGTGTTCCATAACGGGTCGTGGTAGCAGGTACAATTTTGTGGACAGGTCATTTCACAGTCACACGCGTCGTAATCGCAGCAATGACAGATAGCAAAACAATGAGTCTCATACTCACACAAAAAGTCCGACGTTCGAAGGTTAGTTAAGGGCACATGTGTTCCACTACGAGTGTTCGTCATTTTACACAAAACATTTTCTAAGTCCATCACACGCGGGTACTGCCTCATGGCAGTCATATTGTTTATGATCGGTAACCACTCCATAGTACAGTCACACTGAAAGGGATTGCCACCGATGTAAAACTCAGGTAAGGTTTTATTTGCAGGCACATTTGATAAACGTAAACTATTTAGTTCTAAATGTACAATTTCGTTAGCGTACATGTCCACACGCGTTAGATTTTTTTTATCGAAAAAAGTGTTCACATGAATATTATTTAAAAAATTATTGTTAATAAACAATAACTCTACACTATTAGGTATCGCCATAGGCGATATTTCCACTATTCTATTATGACTAACGTCTAAAGTTTTTATACGAATTTCATCTTGCAACTTATAATAGTTACCTAAGTGCTCAATGAAATTACCGTGAACGTCCAACCACATTAAATTACTAGGCACAAACGCGTAATCGAACCACACTAGATGATTTTCTGATAGATTGAGCCACAAAAGACTTGCAAGCGTTGCAAAGACACCATTGATGTCCGACAAGAAGTTTCCATCTAATCTTATAGCCTCCAACTGTGAATTCCGGGTAAAGGTACCTCTTTCAATTGATTGAATCTTATTCTTGGCTATATTTAAAACTTGTAGGCTTGGTAGATCCCAAAACATTCCGACACTTAAGTTTCCGATTTGATTATCTATTAGTCTCAATCCTGTTAATTGGTTTAGGTTTTTAAAAGAGCCATTTTTGAATGTTGATATTTGATTTTCTCCTAAGTCAAGAGTTTTTAAAAAGGGAAGCTCCCATATTGCATCAGGCACCTCCACTAGCTGATTTGAACTTAAATCCAACTCTTTAACGTCAGAACAGTTTTTAAATGCTTTTCTATCAATGGTAACGAGTAAATTATTATTTAGTGTCAGTTTACTCAAAACAAATAATCCATTAAATAAATTTTCATCTATAGTATGCAAGCGATTCTCCGCCAAGTTTAACGTATGAAGATTGTATAAGGGCAAAAAAGCATTATCTTCTATATATCCAATTGAATTATTCTTCAAATTTAATATTTGTAGCACAAAAAGATCTTTAAACGTCTTGCCATCTATTCTTGTAAGGGCATTGTTAGATAAGTTTAATACAATGAGTCGTATTAATCCTAAGAATGTCCCGTCGTCAATATGATTGCTTGTAAGTTGGTTACTTGATAGATCCAAAACTATTAACTGCTCTAGCCGATGAAATATACCCCCCGCAAGCTCAAAGAGGGAATTGTCGTTAAGGTAAACCTCTCTTAATTCTCTTGAATAGGCAAATAGTCCTTCTGGTAACGTGTGTAAACGGTTATGTGATATGTTTAAAACTCTCAAAGACACAAGTCCATTAAAAGCTTCACTTGATATGTCGGTTATATTATTATGTTGTAAGTATAAATGTTGTAAACTTCGAAGTTTTAATATTTCAGAATCTTCAGATAACTTTTTTATTTCATTATTACTCAAATCTAATGTATGTAAGCTAGATCCACAAGTGTGTCCAAAACCGATTTGTCCGACGGTTCTTATTCTATTGCGAGTTAAATTCAATGTATTTAAGTTTTCCATTGAACAAAATACTCTTGAAGGAACGAACTTTATGTTATTTTGAGCGAGATCTAACGACTGCAGTTCGGATAATCCATTGAAAGAGTTCAAAGTTAGCTCCAAGTTCTTGGTAGGACTCCACTCTGAGTTCTTCGATTGAAGTTTAAGTCGTCTTAATTTATTCAAGTCTTGAAAAACGTTATCTGGAACGGTTAGTAGTTTGCAGTTGACTATACTTAAATCAGTTAGTCCTATGACAGGGCTGAAATAATGCGCCCGAAGTGAGCTTTCAAATAACAATAGATGATTGCATTCTATATTAAGTTTGCTCGTTTCTGAATGCACTGATGTTATACTGCTGCCATCGCCATCCAATGTTCTTATTTTGCAAATAACACTGCTTTCCAAGTCCTTGTTAGTTACTCGAACACATTTGTCCGAGCCATAGGGAGACACAGTCCATCCTAAATGCAGGAGCACACAGAACACAGCTGTTACAGCATACATTATCACAGATATTTCAATCCACTATAAAACGTCTCATAAACACTCCCCGTGGGTCGATATCACCATTTCCGAAACAAAGTACGTAGCACAATTTAACGATGAAGAAAAACTTGCGGACATTTCTCTATGTATAAGTCCGTAACAACTTAAAAGTCCTTGTATTTTGTAAATAAATAACTCGGTTTAAGCACTTATATATTACGATATTATTAATTTGACAGTTTTCTGTTATGAAAAATGTATTGCGAGTGTGAGAGTTTGACGCGGAGCGTGATGCGTCATTCCCGCGGCACGAATGCGTTGTGACTGTCAAGCGTAGCGCTTTACTCGTGGAAGCAGAAGTGGGGACGCGCAAGTGACCCCTCTCCCCTTACCCGCTACTCGCAAGTTATCGCCGACTTTTAAAACACGTAGAGCCATCTAGTGAGAAGTAGCGGTATAATGAATAATGTGTATAATTCACCGTATTTTTACAATTATTACGATTTTAATAACATCATGTGAAAACTATAAAGGAATTATATTATATTAATCAATACACATTCAATATATTTTCTTATTTTATAATAAAAGAAAAGGATTGGTTGATTTAATTATACGTACATCATCAGTAAATAAAATATAAATATTCAAAATTTTCCTTAAAAAATAGCATGAATCGACTTGATTTTGATAGACAGACGATAGGGGTTCTATTCTGCATGGAACCAGTAAACAGTTTATGCCCATGCCAAATTACATTCGAAACCGGTCAGCCGTTACGTCGTGATTGAATAACGAAAATCCATTCAAAGTTTTGAACTTTTCATATATTTGCACATTGCAGAGTACCAATTTGAAGATATATTTGTCTATGAAAAAGATAGACACATAATCGGTAGGTAAAAATTATTGGACAAAGCACATATTTTTGTGAGATAATTTATCTGCAGCTTGCTGCTGAATTTTTCTTGCTAAATTTTGGTAATTTTGACTCTATTTGTAGATATTTAAGTGTTTTTAAAAACATAAATTACTATATTCTATTTGATAATCAACATAAAACTTGCACCGAAAAAGAGAGAAATAAGCTTTATTATTTAGATTAATTTGTTGAATTATATAATGATATGATATCATGAATATCAATATCAAATATAAACAATAAAAATTTTATGTGAATTACGTGTCATTTCCACAAATTACGTTTATGCGCGTTAAAGTCTCAAACCACTTGAATTTCCTTTTCCTTAACGTCAAACTTTTCTCGCAAATAAAATTTCAAATCTGAACATTTCGTTGCTTCCTAATGTTTTTCGATGTCGAAAACTGGGACTGTACGCAGTAGGAGAAAAATGGAAAAGTCATGTCTTCTACGTACAATCACTCACTTATTCATACATACAGCTGAGATAAAACCGTTTGGATTTGAACTTTATATCTTTTGAGTAAAGTCTATTTTTGATGGTTATTTTTAAAATAATTTGCATACGTATACCGTTATTGCTTGACAATTTATTTACAATACAATGCATTATGTGTTTAAAGGCGATTTACATAAAATATAATATTTTAGCAGCAAGCAGCAAATACTGTAGTATTTTTATAGAACTTATACCTAATTTGATCAAATGCGTACTTAAATGAAGAAAAATGCTAACACGACAATTTAACAATGATGTCAACAAATGTTTCTTATTATTATACTTCAAATATTACAGTTACATAAATCTTTATAACCTCGTTACTTATGAAGTCGAGATCTCCCTACATCAAAATATATTATATCAAGGTAACCCTGTAACTAGTTATTACATACTAAGAGATGGTTTTTTTTTTCGAAAATTTAAATGTTCTGTCCACCTTTGTAAGTATCGTGTATTTTAGAAAATGAATAACTAGAATTCCTAGTTCAAACATGCCAACAAATAGAATAACATATTAAAAACAAAAAATATACTCGAAGTGATAATATTATTGCTTTGATTACTAGAGAGATTATTATTAGATAAATAAATAAATAAATATGTTGGGACATTAGCACACAGCACCATCTACTTTCATGCTAAGCTACGAGGCTTGTGTTATGGATACCAGATAGTTGATACACTACACATATATAACTTTATACATACATAATATTATAAATATAAACACCCACGACTGGAGTACAAACATTCGTGCTCGTCACACAAATGAATGCCCCCAGTGGGACTCGAACCGGCGACCGCTGGCACAGCAAGGGTAGGTACAAAACACACTACAAACTTAGCCAAACACACACACATACACACACACACACACACACACACACACACACACACACACACACACACACACACACACACACACACACACACACACACACACACACACACACACACACACACACACACACACACACACACACACACACACAGCAGTGAACGGCAAGTTCAGTGATGATATTTACCATGACAGAAATTCCGAAGTCGTATGTCCATTTTGTATCCAATCGTTTAAGACGCCGTCGCATGTTAATTTAAGCAAATCGTACGTTAAGCTCTACCATTTGTCTTAATTCCGTGATTGGGAACAATTAATTTGAAGCCATCGATTTCACCGCTTCGGTTGAACACGATGGAATTAACAAAAAAGAATATTTACCGCATACGAAGAATTCATCATGATTTTCGTTTCACTCAAAAATGTTATGTTATATATAATTATTTTAATATTGAAACATAATTTATTGACTAGCGGCCTAGCCTTGCTTCGTTTGGTTACTTCCCTTGTTGACAAACAATAGTATTCTATCTACATATATACTAAAACTAGCGACTCACCCTCGCTTCCCATACCCTTTCCCCATACAAACTTTTACTACCATTGTCACTCTCTTAAGGGATGATTTCAGGGATAAAAATTATACTATGTCCTTCCCAGGGTCTCAAACTATTTTCTTACCAAATTTCATCTAAATCGGTTCAGTACGAGTAGTTTCGGAGCCAATTCGATACAAACAAACAAAAACAATTTTTTCCTCTTTTTCATATTAGAACAGATTTTATCCAAATTCGTCCAGCCAATTTCAACTTTAAAATAAACTTTTGCATTGATAATAGTAGCCCGATAAAGAGGTACACTATTATAATCTATACATATAATAAAATTCTAAGTCAAATCTGTACATTAAATATTTTTTGGAAAATCTTATTGAAATAGTCATTATTATCGATACAGAGCCCGAATCTATAGTTTTTAGAATTTTTGTCTGTCTGTCTGTTACCGCATAACAGAAAAACCACTGAAGGGATTTTCATGATATTTGGTATGGTGATAGCTGGTTATCCGGGTCAACATAATTATTGGATACTTTTTACCGGGGGAAAATGTCTCATTCCTAAGAAAAAATACAAAAACTGCAATGTAAGAGTATACTAATATGTAAAATCTAAGAATTAGGTTTTTGGTCATTTGAACGCGGGTAGAACCGCGGGCAATGCTAATATCTAATAAATTCAATTGGTTGAGTAAGTGCTTAAATTTGACTGCCAGTCAACTTGAGACTCAAAAGATTAGGAGGTAAGTTTTGCTAAAAAGCTTCAAATCTGGTAATATGCATAGATTAATAATTCATATGTTTGACATTTTCAAAGCAAAGTTAATTATAACATTAAAAATATTTGTTGTATATTCGGGATAGCGCTTTAATGGTATTAGGTTTTTGTCTACGTAAGTGGATATATTTTTAAAGGAAATTTTAGGTATTTTTAACATATTTTTGGATATTTATAGATGAAATATATGCATGTATGTAATCAGCTTTTTAAAGTCCCATTGCTGAGCACGGGCCCCCTTTCAATACGAGGGGAGTCAGGCCATAGTCCAAGTGAAAGAAATTTTACATCAATTTCCTAATTTAGCATAAATTCAATTAAATCTAAATACTCATATGAATGTGTTTATTTTTATAGTGAGTATATCTATGATATCTCAACTTTTTTCATGTTACTTATATACTTGTTGTGTACAAATGTGAACGAAGAATCTAATATAAATAACAAATAAAGCAAGGAACCCCAACAAGCATAGATTTAACAATTATATGTATGTATGAAATTGGCTATCTACTCAATTAAACTCTAAAATATTGACCGAGGATATAAGGTACCACCATGCAAAGTTTCATTTAAATCGGTCCAACGATTTCGGAGATTAGCCCGTACAAACAGACAAACAGATAAACAGACAAACAGACAGAGAAACAAAAATTAAAAAAAAATCTGGATTTCTCTTCTTACATCCCCCTGATTCGGTTGTTAACATTTTTTTCTATGTACAGGCATTCGACCTCTACAGTTTTATTATATGTATAGATGACAACACTCATCTACACTAGTAACATAAAAATCAGAAATTTGATTCTTTGGTAATTGGTAATATCTGGAAGTACCTACCCGTACTATTACATTTTTTTTTCATTTCATAGCCGATATTGAGAGAGGTTACAGGCTATTCATCATGGCTTTAGAAGCAATTATGCACAAATAGATTACGCAAGCGCGGTTAAATACTTGGAAACAATATAGAGTATAAATTAAAAACTAAGCCTTGAAAATGTCTAAACCGCAGGCGCGAGCGGTTTCAAGTTGTTTCCACACTCAACCACAACAGAATTGGCCCTTAAGCTCATTTAACTTTCCGACCACATATTATTGATATATAAATATCTATTTACGGTTCTCGTATAACATTTTTTGCTTCTTCATCGCTTTATATATAAAACATTAAAAACTTCTTGAAACCAATAGATGAATATCAATAAATAATAGAAAAAGCAAAATTATACTAAAGCACTTGTCAAAAACTCGTACTGATAACAACCCTTATCAGTCTTTTGTTCAAAATATTACAATACGTCTTAATCCTACATTAGCCATGGGCTAAAATACAATTTCGGGTATAGCTTATCTACTATACATTAAAACTTCGGCGAAACGGTTTTACATATTTACATTATGTGGTATTCGTGTTACTTT